AAAAAAAAAAAAAAAAATAGTATAAGATAAGTTAGGTTGCATTCTTTTAACCAATATGACTATTTCTATAAGCATAGTTATGTTGAAATAAAGTTGTAAAGAGCAAAAAAATTTTTTTTTCATTAGAGATAGTGCCTAGCTAAGTCACTAAGTTGCCCAGGCTAGGCTGGAACTTGCCATCCTCCTGCCTCAGCCCTCAGAGTGCTGATATTATATGTGTCATCATACCCAGCTCTTCTGAGTTTATGGCTTTGGCTCATATTTAGATTGTTTATCATTTTTTGGTGAGAAGGGAGAGACTAAGTATCACTATGTTGCCCAGACTGGCTTTGAACTCAGCCTCAAGCAGCCCTCCTGACTCAGCTTCCCAAGTAGCTTGGGACTATAGGCATGTTTCATCATTCCTGGCTCAAATCTCCTTTGAGTTCATTTTTGTGCATGATGTATGGTAAGAGTGTGGCCTCATTCTTTTCCAGGTGAAACTCTACTTTCATTTCTTGAAAATACTCTTTCCACTGTGTGTGGCGGTGCACCGTAGTGTAATCCGAGCACTCAGGAGGCTGAGGCAGGAGGATTGCTGCGAATTTGAGGCCAGTCTGGGCTACACAATGAGTTCAAGTCCAGCCTGAAATGCACAGCGGGACCCTGCCTCAAAACAAAACAAAAAAATTCTTTCTCCCATTGGATAGACTGGGCACCCTTTTTGAAAATATACTGGCCAGAGATACTGGATTCTCAGCTTATCTGTGGACTCCCAATTCTATTCCATTGGTTTATATATCCTTTTACCTATATCACATTGTCCTGATTACTACAGTTTTAAAATGAGGAAGTTCAAGTTCTCCCCTGTTCTTTTCAAAGGTTGTTTTGACTACTCAGGGCCCCCATGCAATTCCCTATGAATTCGAGGATTGACTTTTCCATTTTGGCAATAAGAGGCTGCTGAAATTTTATGTTGTATTTGTAGATCACTTTTTGTAGTATATTTTTTTTTTTTGAGATAGGGTTTCCTTGTATAGTTCAGACTGGCCTTGAACTCATTATGTAACCCAGGCTGGATATGAACTCAGGACGATCCTCCTGCCTCAGCCTCCCCAGTGCTGGGATTACAAGTGTGCACTACTATGCCCAGCCCTACTTTTGGTAGTATTGACAGGAAGCAATACTCAGTCTTCCAGACTCCGAGCACAGGATTTCCATTTACCTAGTCCTTTTAAATGTGTTTCATGATGTTGTTTCTGTTTATAAAACTTTCACCTGCTTGGGTAGATGTATTGCTAGCAGAGCTGGGCGGGGTGACTACTGCATGGCAGAGAGCTTGCCAAGCAGGTGCTGAGCCCAGGGTTTGATCCCTACCACAGGATGGGTGGGTGGGACAGTGAGAGGGATAGAGGGAGTGAGGGAGGGAAGAAGGAAGGAAGAAAAAAAGAAAAAGCAAAAAATATATATATTTCTATTGATAGAGCAACAGAGACTTCATTTTCTTTTTTTAACTCCATGTTAAGGGAAGTCACTTAAGTTTGCTTAAGCTGTAGTTGACCCCACTCCGCACCCCTCCCTTTGGTTAGTTATCAACCCACTTGGAGGAGAGCAGAGTCATAAAGTGGGAACAGAACAAACAGGACAAATTGGGAAGTAGGCTAAAAGTTAAACTGCAGTGGTTATCTGGAATTCGGCTATCCAATAGCTTCTGGGAAAGGTAAACTTAGTGATAATTGTGTGACATTCTTGTAAGATTCCCAAAAATGAGGTAATGGTTACTATGGCAACCTAAAAATGTACTTAAACTGAAGGTGAGACTCAGATCAGCTCAGACTTCTTCTCTGGCGCCTGGTTAGAGACTGTCCATCGGCCAGCTCAAAAAACCTTTGTTTATTCCTGCTCTTTTGGTGTCTTGTGGATGCCGTTCTCATTGAAATGGTAAGAGTGGTATCACTATTTTATTACTTTTAATACATTTGTAAATGGAATTGTTCATTCATTTTCCTCTTGGATTCATCATTACTACTGTATTAGTTTTGGGGTATAAGTTTTTTATTTTGTCCTTTTGAGACAGGGTCTTGAAATGCAGTTCAGGCTGGCCCTGAACTCATTTTGTAGCCCAGGCTTGAACTCAAAGCGATCTTCCTATCTCAGCCTCTCAAGTGCTGGGATTACAGGCATGTGCCACCACACCCAGCTTGGGGTATAAATTTGTGCCCTGCAATTTTACTGAATTTATTTGTTTGAGTAGATTTCTTCTGGATTTCTTCAGTTTTTTCTACTTAGGATCATGTCATCTGTGATAAGAAATAGCTTTTCATTCTTCCTTTTCTTTCATTCTGCTTTTCTTATTTTATTTCATTTATTTTTGCAGTACTGGGGATTGAGCCCAGGACTTTTACACTGAGCTACATTCCAAGCTCTTTTATTTTTTTTCCCTCTTTATTTTTAAGACAGGGTTTCTCTAAATTGTCCATGCTGGAGTCAATCTTGTGACCCTCTCAAAGTACAGGGATTCTAGATGTGTATACCACCATGCCCAGCCCATTTCTGTTTCTTATCTAATTGTCAGTCATGGATAGAACATCCGGTAATGGCAGACATAGAGGGAAAGTTTTCAGTCTTTCACTGTGCAATATGCTGTTTTCTATGGACTTTTCTTTGTTTTGAGGTACTGGGGATTGAGCCTAGGGCCTTTGCATTGAACTACATTCCTAGTCCATTTTAATAATGTTTTTATTTTGAAACAGGGTCTCCCTGAGTTGCAGGGGCTAGAACTTGTGACCCTCCCACCTCAGCCTCCCAGAGTACTTGGATTACAGGCATGCACTACCATGCCTGAGTCACAGCTGTCTCTTAAATACAAAGAAAATTTCTGTTGGGTATGGTGGTGCATACCTGTAATCCTCAGGAGACTGAGGCAGGAGGACTACTAAGAGTTAGAGCCCAGCCTAGGCTACACAGACAGACCCTTTCTCAAAAGACCCCCACCAAAAAAAAGAAAAAGAGAATTTCTGGGTCAAGGGTTATAGCTCAGTGGTAGAGCATTTGCCTAGCACCTGTGAAACCCTGGATTCAATACTTAGCTCTGAAGGGAAAAAAGCAATAAAAGGAAAAAATAAATAGCAAATTTCCTTCTAACCATAGTTTTAGTGATACTATAAGTTTTAGTGATACATAATTTTAATGGTCATTAATGGGCACTGAATTGTATAAGATATCCCTTCCTCATTAACTGAGATAATTGTGCATTTCCCCTTTCTTTCTAAGGTATTTTCTGATGTGATAAAAAATACTCTGAGTCTATAATAGCTAAATCTTGGAAATAGCCCAAATGACTAGATAAAGAAGATGTGGGTTTTTTTTCTACTAGGGAGTACTACTCTGCCATAAAGAAGGATAAGCTTGAGATATTTCTAGCTAAATGGATGTACCGTGAATCCATACTCTTAAGTGAAATAAATCAGACACACATGTTCAAATATCACATGGTTTCTCTGGTTTGAGGAACTGAAAGTGTACATAAGGACCAAATGTATAATAGTTATTGTGAAATAGGAGGAAAATGTTCAAATGGGAAGGGGAACATGGGAGAGGGGTGGGGGAAAGTAGGGAAAAGTACAAAATGAGAAAGAAGGAAAACATGGAAACAAAGCTTTGTCAATGGGAAGAGGAGGAGGGGTTGAAGGGAAGCTAGGGGAATGGGGAAAAACCGAGTTATATCACATACAGGTACAAATTCTCTATGATGAATTTATCATTATATATATCTAAAATGTACCAGTAAATGTAATTTTTAAAACAAGTGTTTGGCCAGGCGTGGCTGTGCATGCCTAAAATTCCAGCACTTAGGAGGCTGAGGCAGGAGGATCACTGTGAGTTCAAGGACAGTCTGGGCTACATACTAAGACCCTGTCTCAAAAAAGAAAGAAAGAGAAAAAACAAAAAGAAGCAGTGCTTGGCACCTTGGTAACTGGGTGTGCCAACCTTCCGGTTGCTCAGTGAAGTGAGTTGCGAGCTCCAGCTGAGAAAAGGTCTGTTTTAAAATGTGCAGTAAGTCACAGATGCTGAACAACACACTAACATGAAATTTTCTTTCAGATTGCAAAAACCTGCTAAAGGAATACATGAAGTGACACGAGTGCTTTGAGCGACTTCGCAGTGGCTGTGATGGCTGAAGGCAGGGAAAGATCAGGAGGGCCTTTCACATTAGAAACTAAGAAAATTTTGAAAGAGAAAGTGAAATGATTTGATCAAACAGGTGACAGACTGTTAGGGAAACTTCTGGAATCTTAACAATGATTTGAACATGGGTGGAGGCCAAGGTATATTTGGTCCATGGTTTTGACAGCATTTGTCGGTTTCACCAGAATCCTATGACCATGCTGCTCCAGATTCCTGCTTTTTAAGAGCTATCAGCAGAAATGAGGCTTAAGTAGGTGGTTATGATCGTGAGACCCAGTTTCAGAGTCCTCAGTGGAAACCACAAGTTCACCTCATGC